CCCCTCCAGGGGGGCCGTTTGGGGGCCCCCCAAGGTGGCCTTCATGCCCACGGCACGGGGGCCCCCCTGAACGCTATACTGAGGGTCCCTTTAGCTCTTGGGGCTCCTGGCGAGCAACGCCGCAGCAGCAGCAGCAGCCGCAGCAGCAGCAGCAGCAGCGGCAGCAGCAGCAGCAGCATTACATGCAGCCGCAGCATTACGGGCAGCAGCAGCAGTACATGCAGCAGGAGCTGCTGCTGGAGCCGCGTCAACAGCAGCAGCAGCAGCAGCAGCAGCAGCAGCACTATAACCACCATGATTCTGAGATAGAGAGGCTGCAGCAGCAGTGCCGCTCCTCGCTGGTTGCCTCTCTCCGTATCGTCGGCGAGACAAACCAAACCTCGCAGCAGACAGCCATGCAGCTCGCAGCACAGTCAGGTAAACCCTAAACCCTAAACCACAAACCCTAAACCCTAAACCCTAAACCCTAATACTTTTCTTTGTGGGCGCAAATGCCTAAACCATAAACCCTAAACCCTACCCCCGTGATCCCTAAACCCTAGACGACGGTCCCCAGCCGTGAAGATTCCGATTTCAAAACCCTAGACCCCAAACCCTAAACCCTAAACCCTAAACCCTAAACCCTCGTTGTTTGTTTGTCTATGGTTGCTATGCAGAGCAGCTGGAGCGCATCGCCGACACCACGGAGGAGATAGGCGGCAACCTGCAGACATCCAAATATTTGTTGGGCGGCCTCAAGAGCTGGTGGGGGTCCTTCGCGCAGCTCTTCACTGCACCTACTACCAGCAGCAGCAGCAGCAGCAGCAGCAGCAGCAGCAGGAGACGGCAGCAGCAGCAGCAGCAGGGGCAGGGGCAAGGGCAGGGGCGGTATTCTGATGCTGCTGCTGCTGGTGATGGTAGTAGTGGTGGGGATTTTGCGGGCAGTCAGCAGCAGCAGCAGCAGCAGCTGCAGCGGGAACAGATTCAGGTGCAGCAGCAGCAGCAGCTGCTGCAGCAGCAACGACTGTCGCTGCTGCAAGGCCGAGATGCAGCAGCAGCAACAACAGACAGCGACTTCGACGACGGCGTACAACGAGACCTCCAGAGACTCTCTCTCATGGTCAGCGCCTCTCCTGCTGCTGCTGCTTCTGCTGCTGCTGCTGCTGCTGCTGCTGCTGCCGTTACTCCTGTCGCCGCTGCTGCTGCTGCTGCTGCTGTTGTCGCTGTTGCTCTTGTTGCTGCTGCTGATGTAGCTGCATTTTCATGCTGTTGGTATTTTCTGCTGTTGGTATTACCGGTGTTATTGCTGCTGTCGTTTTTGTTGCTGCTGCTGCTGCTGCTGCTTTCGCTGCTGTTACTGCTGTTGCTGCTGCTGCTGCTGCTGCTGCACAAGGGAAAGCGAGTGCACACGCTACTGCAGCAGCAGTAGCCGTAGCCGCAGTAGGAGCAGCAGCAGCAGCAGCAGCAACAGCAGCAGCAGCAGTTGCATCAGCAAGGTAGTATATAGTGTGTGTATGTTCTGTATGTGTGTGTGTGTTGTTTGGGGTGTATGTACAGCTGGGGGAGCTGGAGGGCCGAGCAGCAGCAATAAACAAAGAGCTGCAGCAGCAAAACGAAACACTGAATTTCATCGTCGATGGCGTGCAGACAAACAAAAAAGAAATGGAAAAACAAAAACTACAAATCAAACAAATACTCAAACGGTGATGCACACACTATAAAACAATATATATAGTAATAAATATATAAATAAATAAATTTATATAAATATATATATATATATATATATATATATATATATATATATATATATATATATATATATATATATATAGAGGCAGATAAGCAACGAGAGAAAGAACGAAACAAATAAACAATGAGACAAACACATAAACAAAGAGACAAACAAACAACAGAAAAAACGTATAAACAGACAGATAAATAAATAAATAAAAATAAAAATAAATAAAAATAAAAGTAATTGGATAGAAAAATAAATAGACAAACACAAAAGCAAACAGGCAAATTAAAGCAGACAGAAATGAATAGAGAGAAAAAAAAAGAAAGAAATGAAGACAAAGATACAGAGACAGAGACAGATACAGACAGAGAGAGACAAAGATAGAGACCGAGCTAAAAAAGATAAAGAGAGACAGAGAGACAGAGAAACAAGCAAAGAGAGAGAAAAACAGATAGATGTAGAGATAGAGAGAAGCAGACAGACGCTGAGACAGAAACAGAGAGAGAAGGAGATGATGAGAGGAGCAGCAGGGATGCGGCTGTGTTGTTGTTTTTTTCTTTCTGTGCCTGCTGATGCATTTGCTGTCTAAACCCTAAACCCTTCTCTAAACCCTAAACCCTAAAACTCGGTCTCAGCGTCTGTCTGTCTGCTTGTTAGGGTTTAGTAAACCCTAAACCCTAAACCCTAAACCTTTTGTTTATCGTTGCATATGCAGGTAGACAACGGAGGACCCCAGGATCTCTATATAGGGTTTGGCGATGCTTACGCCTACCCAAACCCTAAACCCTAAACCCTAAACCCTAGTTTTTTCCGTTTAGGCTCTCTCAGTGAGTTGAAGCCTCCAAGGCGAACCAAAACTTGTTTCAGTTGTTAGTGTGTCTTTGCAAAGGTCAAGACGCTCGACGGTTTAGGGTTTTAAGGGTTTAGGGTTTAGGGTTTAGTATTTAGGGTTTAGGGTTTTCACGCGCAGCCCAACCGGGGGGCCGGCAGCAGAGGCGTTGTAAACCCTAAACCCTAAACCCTGTTTTGTGGGCTTTGCCGTGCACAGCAACGTCCACGGCACGGCACGGCAGGGGTTTAGGGTTTAGGGTTTGAGGCGAATGTGGAGCTGTAAAACCCTAAACCCTATACCCTCAAACAGCCCCGTAGGGTGTATGCCGAGTTTTCTTTCTGCGTTTATTTGTTGTAATGAATTTGTTCTGGGCATTCAGATAGTGGAGCAGACTCTGAAGCTTAACAACCATCATTTGCGCTTTGTTTAGGGTTTAGGGTTTCAAGGGTTTAGGGTTTTTAGGGCCTAGGGTTTAGGGTTTTAAGGGTTTAGGGTTTAGGGTTGTTTTGGTAGCTCTTTTCTAAGAGGTAGTGAGCAAGATACTGCACGGGGGCTGGGGGCCTCTCCTCGCAGAGAGCAGCCAAGGCGGGTAGCAGTGACGGAACGATTTCTTTTTCGAGGTATTCTCTGACGCTCATCGTCAAAGCCGAGGATGGCAGCGGAGGCTGCAGCAAATTCACCTCGTTCAGCAGCTCCTCGCCACCCCCACCATCGCCGAATGCTGCTGCAGCAGCACCACCAACACTCGCAGTAGACAGCTGTGCAGGCCCTTCCTCTAGGGGAGGATCAGCAGCGGGCGCCCCGTTGCCCAGCGAACTCTTCCGCGTGCTGTATCGCCGAGGGGAAGCGGCCCCTCCTTGTAAGGTGGGGTCGACCTCTCCACCCGCGGCTACTGTACTTTCTCTCTTGTGAAACGAACCCTCAGCAGGGGCCGGCTCGGGGGGCAAGCTGCTCTGACTCATCCTCGATTCACGGATGAGGTAGGGGCGCTAGAAAAGCAACAGAGAAAGGGCTTCCTTCTGCACTAGCGGAGGAGGGGTCAAGCAACAAACATCCACACAGCCAGGCGACAGACAGCGGATCTGCTACTGCTCCTGCTGCTGCCGCCGAGAATGCTACTGTTCTTTGCAGCCCTGCTGCCAGCTGTTTGTTGCAGTTTTGTTGAACCTCGCAGCAATGGAGGGGGTAGAGGACGGACTCAGCAACCAATCTGCGGCGCAAGGGTTAAGTTTCGTTTCAGGTGCTGATTCTTTCGAGCTAAACGCTACGTTAAACAGATTATTTTAAAACAATTAAATTGATTTCATTTATTTCAATTGTGTTTTTGGCAGGAACTCCGCGGTGCCCTTGTGGTGGTTCTAGCAGCTGGCAGAGGCGCAGAGGTCACTTGTTCCGTCTGGTGACCTCTCCTCCAGTTCCTTCTGTTCGGGGTTTCTGCGAAGTCGGATTCTCTTTACGAACTCGAATCTTAATTAATTGACAGAAATCGAAATGCTTTTGGCTTTTGAGTGCTTTTTTGTGGGGCGACACAGACGAAACGGAAGATCCACGAAAATAGGCAGGCTCGGAGGGCGGGCCCCAAGGCATGCATATTTTACTGTTTCGATATTTTTTACACATTAATTACACTTGTTAAACACACCTAAATTATTTAACGCAATTTGATCATCTTACGGAAAGAAGTTTCCTAAAAACTGCAGAAGAAACAAAAGTGACGTCGAATTGCCGACGCTCATCCGCGTCGTTTGCCCAGGTGTCTGTACACTTGCACACCACCGGTTTTACACGATTCTATCTTCCTGGACGTTTTTAAAGGGGCTCATTTCTTTTTTTCATGATTTTTGAGTGGAATTTTTATTTAAGTGTCATTGCCGCAATTTCCCTGCATCGAATTCACCGTCAGCCCTCCCCACCGCCCTAGTTTGCGTTTCGAACAGAAACCACGGGAAACCACGCGCGACACGAAAGAGAAAACTCAAAAAGATGAACGTAGAAAACCGATTCACACTCGAATCGTTTGTCTGCCCGCTACATACTGCTACATATTGCTTTGAACTATAGACACATCCACTTCTGTCGGCCGCCTCCTGGTTTCTTGCACACAGAGCCTCCGCGCACGGTTTCAAGAGAGAGGTGGTGCCGTTTTAATGCACAGTCTACCGTTTGCTCCCGTTGTGAAATTCCCTTCTGAAACTGAGTTACGCCTCTAGTTCGTAGATAAAATGAACTCGAGTGCCTCGACATAATTACTAAGTACAGATTAACGACATCTGTGTGTGTGCCACCTTTAAGACTTCTCGCAAAAAATTCAAATTTCAAGACGATGCAAAACTTCAGACCCTACGCATAGCGTTGCAGCAGCATCGAAAGGAGAGCTCTGTGGCTTTTTGCGTTGCATAGTTGGGTCACAGACCCACACCGTATTGTCCTTGCAGCAGCAGCTACTGCTGGTGCTGGTGCTGCTGGTTACTATTCAAAATGATCAAAATGTGGGAAACAGCTGCAGCAGCAGGTGTTGAATCATCTCACAGCTGCGCAGGCTAGAGGAGGAATTTGCTGTGAACGCTTTGGTTCCCTCAGATTCTCCAGCTAGCCAGCATGGAGTGCCGCAAGGCCACAACAGCCGCTATTCTATGCCCTACACTATACACCCCAGGCCCTAAACATTATAAAGAAGGGGTAGGGACCTCCTGACACTGGCGATGCACTGAAAAACACAAAACTGAAGCCACTGAGACCGTCGTTGGCTAGCAGATGTCCCGCTGATGCTGCTGCTGTTGCTCGAGTGCTGCTGCTGCTGTTGCTACTCCTAGTCTTGTTCCTGCTGATCCCCCCATCCCTGCTGCCGCTCCTGCTGTTGCTGGTGCTGCTGTTGCTGCTGTTGCTGCTGCTGTGGCTTTGGCGGTTCAGGTATCTCATCCCACATGCGCTGTATCTCTGCGTTGGGTTTGAAAGTCACTCCTTCGCTCCACCTATCTAGAAATTGGTTTTCCGCAGGGTGAAGAGCTGCAGTAGCAGCTAGCAGCTGCCTCATCACAATCAACTGCTTATCCGAGAGCCGTTTCGTCTCCACTGAAGCAAAACCAGCAGCNGCAGCAGCAGCAGCAGCAGCAGCAATACCGGCATCAGGATGGGGGCACACAAACGAAGGCTAGCAGAAAATGCTTTGGAAGGGAAAGTGTCGACGCAGAAAGGCAGATGCAGTTCTCTCAATTTGGGGCCTACGATATAAGGGCTCAAGATTAAGGGTTTAGGGTTTAAGGGTTTAGGGTTTAGGGTTTACTGCCAAAGGAAATTCCGCTCTGCAGCCACTCGCAGAAGTCTTCGATTTCTTCTGTGGTGTGTAGTGCGGTCTGCACACAAAACACGCAACCCCCAAATCCTAGGCGAACCCTATACCGTAGCCCCCAAACCCTAAACCCTCGACCCTAAACCCTAGACCCTAAACCCTAAACCCTAAACCCTACGTTAGCGAGAGCATGCAGGTCGCAGTTGGGGTCTTGAAATGCCTTCGCCAGGATACCCACAAAATTCGACTTTCCCGCAGCGTCCAGTCGCAGGCGGGCGGTGACCCTGTCCACCCACAAACCCTAAACCCTAAACCCTAAACCCTAAACTGTAAACCCTAAACTGTAAACCCTAGGCAAAATGTCAGGAGCAATGGCTGTGGCGAGGTGTCACAAGCTGCATACGCCGCACGAAGCCACGTACTCGGGTGTAGGGTTTCGCGCAGTATAACGAGGGTTTAGGGTTTAGGGTTTANGCCGCACGAAGCCACGTACTCGGGTGTAGGGTTTCGCGCAGTATAACGAGGGTTTAGGGTTTAGGGTTTAGGGTTTACCTCTGTCTGAGGACGCGCAGAGCCGTGGCTGCGAGGGTTTTGGGGGGTTTTGAGTTGAGGGCTTCTCTGATTTTTTGGTTGATAAAGAAAACGAAGTGTTCGTCCAAACCACGCAAAGAAGAAAGACGGTCCAGCAGGTCGTCTAGGTGTTGAGGCTTTCCTAACTAAACAACAAACCCTAAACCCTAAACCCTAAACCCTAAACCCTAAACCCTGATACTCGGATACTGAGAACCTATTCGGTTGTTACAGGGGGAGGATAAAGGGATTCCTTTGAGCGGTTTTAGATGCAATACTCCCTAAAATTTAGGGTTTAGGGTTTAGGGTTTAGGGTTTAGGGTTTGGTGGTGCACCAGCATGACGCCGAGGAGTCTTTCTGTTTTCTGTGCAGCAACGCGGCGCCTCAAAACCCTCGCATGC